ACACACACACACACACACACACACACACACACACACACACACACACATAATAAAAAACAATCAATCAGTACAAACGGAGCCGGTATCTCTCTCATATTCTCTGACAATGAACATAAATTATTTGTATCTCAGAGCTCTTTCATTTCAGATATATCGTTGGAAAATTTCTCCCACATTTTTGTCATTTTACAGCGCTGGGCATCGCACTGAGGGCCTTGTGCACCCCACCGCTGGGCTGTACCTGAAGCCTCTGGCCCACAGCCCACTTTCTTAGTGTTATTGATCTGACTTTCCGAGGCCCCGAGTTCATTAACTTTTAGGTGATCAATAGCTAGTGCGTGCTTCCTGTTTTACTCATTCATTATTAGCGTATTTGGCTATCTACCATAATGTTTATCTTGTGCCAACAGGACCCTTACTACAGATTTAATGACGTTAACTACAGATGGATTTCCTTAGATAACTGGACCTACAGCACGGAGTATAAAATCCCCTTTAACCTCAGGTGTGTATATATGTGTCCGTACTATGCACACATGTACTGTGTATGACAAGATTTTCTTTTCTGTTTCTCTCCTTAGGTTTTGTATCAGGGTTAAGCTAGATTAAACCTTTGTGTCATTGAAGTGACTGTGCAATTTATGTGTCGTCGTCCCCCCCCCCCCCGCATGTGAGGACGGTGCCACTGATCATCAGGCATGACGCTGTGTCCTAGGGAATAATCACTGCAGTGGTCACTGAAGTCACCTGCGTCCTGTCAGTTCTTTTATGTAAATCTCCTCCTTTCTACCTCCCCAGTATGTAAGAGAATGTGCTGACGGGTAGTATTTTTGTGAACTTTTCCATGTATGTGTGTGTGCAAGGTTGAACACGCACACCTATGTGTATATATATATATATATATATATATACACACATAGCCAAAGGTAGATGCCAGGTGTCGTAATCAATTACTTTCCGCTTTGCTTTTTGAGATAGGCTCCCTCTCTCTGAACCTTGAGCTGTCTGATTTGGCTAGACTGGCCAGCATGAGTCGCAAGGATCGTCCTGGCTCTGTCTCCCCAGTTCTGGGATTAGAGGCAAGCGCTGCCGTGCCCACCTTTAATGTGGGTCTGTACGTTGAACTCAGATTCTCACACTGCATGGCAAGCACTTTACCGACTATGCTCTCTCCACCGCTGTGTGTGTGTGTGTGTGTGTGTAGGTTTGGTAGCAGAATCTGAGCCCAGAGCCTTACGCACTGAAGTATGTCCCTAGGTCTATAGTTTCGTTAGTATGATCAGAGATACGCCATTTTTTCTGTGTGATGCTACACAACCATTGAGACTGTTAATCCTGAGGTATGCCAGAGAAAAAACAATGCCACTGTTTTAGGCCACATTTGAAGCAAGCTTTATTAAATATTAAACACTGACCAAGAGATGGACTTCGGTCAGGACCACTCCTTGGAATTTCCAAGCTGAATGACCTTGAGACACGCGTTGCAGGGGCTTATAAAGACAAATCTATAGGTTTTTGTTATATTTCAACCAAGAACCACAACTCCCAGAATCCCAGGAGGCTTCCTGGTCCTTGAGCAGGTGGGGCTTACAGGTTAATTTTGGGTATTACAATACTCTGACCTTGACCTTATACTACATCATATGGCCACAAAGAAAAGTACAAGTATTGCTGTCAGTAATGTTCTGTTATCATAAGAAAATATTTCTGGGTGAAGCAGGGTGTAAGCAAGCACACAAGCCACCATTATTACTAAATTTAAAAAATCTCATGACATTTTGTTATTATTTATTACTCTCTAAAATCTAAAGCCACTGTCTGGGGTAAAGAGCCTGTCTAGTGTGCATAACGCCCTGGGTTCAGTTCTTCGTGCTGAAAAAGAAACCAGAATATTATGATCAATATCATGGAGCTACTGTGTTTCATGCTTTTATTTCCAGATAATGCTTAAAATATTTCTCACAAGAATCCTGTCCCCAGTTATGTAGTGAATTGCAGGTCACTCTGAGCTCCCTGAGACTCAAAACAAAACAAAACAAAACAAAAAAGAAGTAAAAGTCACATGCACACATAAACCCAGACAAAGTCCCATTTCACTTTGAAACCACAGCTGAGAAAATGCCTCCATAAGACTGGCCAGTAAACAAGCCTGTTGGGCATTTTTTAAATTAATAATTACTTCGGGAGGACTCAGCTCACTATGGGTGGCGCCTCCAAGGTGGTCCTGAAATGTCTGAGAAAACAGACTGAACAAGCCTTGGGGAGAAAGTCAGTAAGCAGCACTCCTCCAAGGCATCTGCTTCAGTTCCTGCCTCCAGGTTCCTGCCTCCAGTGCTTGCCTTGGCTTCCCTTAGTGATGGCTTGTGACCTGAGCTGTAAACTGAGATCAACCCTTTCTGGGAACCCCCCCCCCCCCCCGCCGCCCACCAAGTTACATTTGGTCATGGTTTCTTTTCCTCAGCAATAGAAACCCTAATTAACACAACCACGGCCCATTACTCATTAGTTGTCACATCCCATTCCTATCCACTGTTTTTGTCCCAGTCTAGACAGCCAGTAACTAACTCACTTTCCCTCTCTGTAGACTTAATCAGCACTTTAGAAACATCGGTCCTTTGTCAAGGACTTTCTTTACTTACTATAGTTACGGTTCATTAGTGTTGTAGCATTCAGTCATCATCACCTAATTTCTCCTTATTGCTGAAAAATCCTCATTTCTTTGAGTTCTTACACTCTTCTTGAAGTCCTCATTACATGATAAGCCTTGTCCAATCGATCAAGGTGTTCCTCTTTGATTCCTGTGCATTTTAGCTCGAATGCCATCCAGATTACAGACCCTTCAAATTCCCAGGTTGTTCCTTGTAAGTCTGAGCACATGATTTCCCCTCATTGATGTCATAGGTGGTGGTTAATGTGTTGTCCTCGATTGTGTCAGTACATCCAATAGCTTTGACACACGTTTTCTGTAGTATCTAAAAACTGTGAAATAACAGAGAATCAACTCATTTGGAGATTATAATTTGTGCTCTTGATTTTATGGCAATGGTTTGACTGACGCATCGTGGGAACAAATGAGTTGGATCACTCAGAGAAATTACAGCAATATCAAACCCATACTCTTGAACTTTGATGGACACTGCCAGTTAAGAATGTATATTTTCCTGTAAAATCTTTACATTATTAGTTCTTAACTGATCATAAAGAGACTTACATGAGTTAATGTTTCATATACCATGCTTTAAAAAGTCTTTTGTTTGTCTCCCAGTGAATGGCAGAAAGTAAAGTTGATTTTTGACGGAGTTGATACAGTTGCAGAAGTTGTGTTCAATAATGTCACTATCGGGAAGACTGGCAACATGTTCACTGCCTGTGTGAGTACATGATAACTGCAGATTAAGAAGAGGGAGTGTGCCTTTGTGTTCCTGGTGTGACTAGGGGAGCCTCCTTGCGGAACTCACTACGGATCAAGTTCCAAGGCCTTTGAAATCCTGAGTAAATTACTGTGCTTCTCGGGTGCCCTATTTGAAGAATGTTGGGGGCAAAGCAAAGCCCTTGGTGGTTCTGCAGACCTTGAGGAAGTAAATTATAGCTTCAGCTTTGCTGTTCACTTCTCAGTCATCTGGTGATCCAAAGACTCATGGGAAGTGACAAGTGACAGACACTTTTAAAAGGAAATATGTTCTGAAAGTGTGGCCTTATTTTTCTTCTGTTTCAAGGGTGTGCTTTGGAAAACAAAAATAACTTATGACTTAGAAATACGCACTATGCATTCCAGAGAATCAGGTTGTTATAAAGTGTCTAGGAATCCGTAGCAGTTCAAGGCCACCTGCACAAGCCTGAGCAGACATTCCAGGGTTGAAGATACTTTCTGTTCTGTGTATTTCTCTGGGACCAGAATTCTGTCAGTGAAAACAGGAGACTCCTAGAAACCTGTGCTTAGACAGGAGATTGGAGTTATAATTTAAGGTGGACCACTAAATTCTATTTCAGAGGGATGCTTTCGGTTAATGAGGCTAGCTCTGGATTTGGTTATCCTGTGCATCTTCCATGTAGTCTAGCTTCATCTAAAATGTTCTACACAAGACTAGTTCTTCCGTACGGATTTGTATGTTCTTCCTGTACTTCAGAGCTTTGACATCACCAGTGTGGTCAAAGATGTGAACTCCCTAAAGCTGCAGTTCCAGTCAGCAGTGCAGTATGCTGAGCTTCAGAGCAAAGATCACACCAGCTACCCTGTGCCCCCAAAGTGCCCCCCGAAGGAGCAGAACGGTGAATGCCATGTCAACTTTATCCGCAAGGTAATGCTCTTTCAAAGGCACGGGCTGCAGCGTGAAGATCTGAAAACAAGAGTTTTCTGAATTTTTGTGGTGGTTTTCTTCATTCTTCTTGGTTTTCTTCCTGAAACATGTTTCAGAATTTAGGTTAATACACACACACATACACACACACACACACACACACACACACACACACTGGCTAACAGAACTTGATGTTACATCCTATATAACTTGATGTTATATCCTTAGAACTTACTATGTTCCTAAAAGAGGCAATTCTTCTGCCTTAGCCTCCCAAGTCTTGGGATTGCTGGCATGAACCCCTATGGCTGGCTAATAATAGAACTTTATAAATTATTATGTTGTTATTTCAGGCAGGGACTCATCTAGCCCTGGCAGGTTTCAGATTTGCTATGGAGCCAAGGATGACCTCCAATTTCCAGCCCACCCCCTACCCCTCCTCCAAGTGCTGAGTTTAAGGGGTGTACAATCATGCCTGGTTTTATGAGATTCTGAGAATGAAACCCAAGGCTCTGTGCATGTTAGGCAGAGCTCCGAGATCGCTCTAACAACTAAGTTATCTTCCCATTTCTGTAAGGTTTTTTAAACACTTATATTTGTCAAACTTGTTGGTAGATGTGAAATCTTACTAGCGATTCTTGTGACTGGCAACCTGCTAGAAAGAAATACATTTTCAGCTGGTAGTGGTGGTGCACACCTTTAATTCCAGCACTTGGGAGGCAGAGGTAGGTAGATCTACATGAATTGGAGGCTGGCCTGGTCTACAAAGTGAGTTCCAGGATAGGCAAGGCTACACAGAGAAACCCTGTCCCAAAAAACAAACAACAACAAAAACCAAAAAAACAAATAAGCAAAATATACATGTACATTTTTTTCTGAGATGTTCTCATGTTTTATTGCTAGCATTTATGAAACAGAACAGAAAGGTTTATTCTGTTCTACAGAACTTGAATTTATACTAATGTGTAATTACTGCATTATACTTAAATGTAACATTTAGGGTCTTGTTCTTGTTGTTGTTTTTGAGACAGTGTCTCACTATATAGTCCTGGCTAGCCTAGAGCTTATCATACAGACTAGGCTGGCTTTGAACTGACAGAGATCATCCTGCCTCGGCTTCTAGAGTTCTGGAAGGCATTTCGTTTTTAAGAAGAAAATGTTACTCTTCTTCATATTTGACCCTTCTACTTTTCTCATGTCAACATAAATTATCTGTTGTCTCCGCCTCCTTCTCTGTTCCTAGACGGTTGCCTCCAACTTTTCAACTGCCCTCTTACCATTGTGTCAGTCACTTTTCATCACTATTGAGATAAGCGCGGGGAGAGGGGCATTCTTCTGCTTTTCAGTTTCAAGGTTTCAGTCTGTGCTCTCTGGCTCTGCACCTGTGTGAGTGGAGCATCTTGGTAGGAGGGAGTGCAGCACAAAGCTGCTTACCTCGTGACCCTGGGAAGAAGACGGAAACTGTAGGAGTGACTGAGATGGGGTGTACCCTCGAGGGCATGCCATCAATGATCTGTTCACTTCATCTAGGCCCCACATCCTAGTTGCTGCCATTTTCCAAGACAGCCTTTATTCTTTGAATCTGGGCCCAGTCACTTCTCACATAGCTTGTGGCCCTGGTCACCTAACTGGCATTCCCACAATGTCATTTGCCTTCTTTTAATTAAATTATCCATAGAGCAGCTGACATGGTTTCTTCAGACAAAAATGGCCACAGTATTCCGTATGTAAAATAGAAACAAGGACTTGTAAATTCATACTTACTAAGCTAATGAGACTAGCTGTATTTTTAAAAGTTGTTTATCATTTTACCTGTCAACATCTTTGCTCCAAAATAAGCTAAAGTCCAAAGCTCTCATCTCAGTCTTTGCCCCACCTCTCCTGCTGGGACTGCGTCCTGCTGACATTTGCAAACACATTTCCTTTGAGTCCTTCTACGTCCCTTTTTCTAATTCAAAGTGAAGAAAGACGACTGTCCTGAAAGAAGAGCAGCTTATTGTTCTGTCCTGTGAATGAAACTCAGGGCCTTGTGCATACTCAAGCAAGTGCTCCACCATTGTGCCACAAACACAGCTTAAACGTGGTTACTTTGTTTTTTGTTTGTTTCTTCAGGAAGCCTGTGTAGATACTTGACCCTCCCTCCCAACTTCTAGCTCCTTATTTCCTTTATACAACTGACCGTGCATGTGTTATTTATTCAGTGCCCAACGATCTTGCTCATCTGTGAGCATCACAAGTAGGACCCAGGACAGAGCTGTGTGTTAACATTAACTCAATATCAACATGCCTGAGACAAAGTGAGTCACGGATTGTTTCTGACTCGGTGAAAATTCTCACGGGAAGGGCTGAGTGGCTTAAGCCGTCAGAAGTTTGGCAGGCTGTTGAACACTTTGTTCTCTCTTTGCCCACTTTTAGGATTATTATTTCTGTGGTGAAACACCATGACCAAAAACAACTTGAAAAGGCAAGGGTTTATTTCTTTCACAGTTCCATAGAGCACTTCATCATCAAGAGCAGTGAGGGCAGGAACTCAAGCCGGGCAGGAACTCAAGCCGGGCAGGAACCTGGAGGCAGGAGCTGGTGCAGAGGCCATGGAGGGGCGCTGCATACTGGCTTGCTCCTAGGTTTGCTCAGCCTGATTTCTTACAGAGCCCAGGACTACCAGCCCAGGGATGGCCTCACCCACAATAGGCTGGGCCATCCCACATACTCACTAATTAAGAAAATGACCTACTGGCTTGCCTGTAAAGCTCAGACTTACCAAGGCATTTTTTCAACTGAGGTTCCATCCTCTCAGATGACTGTAGCTTGTGTCAAGTTGACGTAAAATTAGTCAGGACACGCCACCAAGGCCAGCAGAAGATCTGAACCCATGTATGTATTTACAATTGTTCCAAAAAGATCCTCAAGGTGGTTTTCATTTCAAATGTGAAAATCTGATGCTTAAGTGGTGAGTTTAGACAGAGGTAGGTACCAGGAAGCAGCTCTAGTTGTTTTTGTTTTGCTGTTTCTTAATATTTGTTTATTTTAATTAAAACATAATTACATAATTTCCCCTCACGTGTTCTCTCCTTCTAACCCCTACACTGTTTCTCCACTTACTCCCTTTAAAATCTCTGGCACCTTTTTCCTCGATTATTATTGTATGTATGTATATAGAATGCATAAATATATAAAAACCACCCGCTGAGTCTATTTAGTGTTGCTTATATGTACATGATTCTAAAGTTGACCACTTGGTATCATTCAACCAATTAGAGATCTCATTTCTGGAGCAGATGAATTCTCCCTGTCCCAGCTATCATTTGTAACCTGTTGTTCTTTTTCTCGGGGCCCTGTGAAAATTTCCCCTTTCACATCTACTGGTCTTTTCATTGTTCAGGTCTTGTTTAGACAGCCATATTGTCATTGTCATGTATAGGGTCCCAAGAGACTTGTAGATCCTCTGGATCTTACAACTTTTTACCACCTTTCCCCCAATGTCCCTCAGCCTCAGGTGCAGGAGTTGTGTTGTGGATGTATTCGTTGTGACTGGAAACCCTGGGATCCGTTCTCTGTGTCTTGACTAGTTGTAGCTTTCTGATAGGGTATCTGTCTGCTGCTTCTTTGATGAGGAGTGAGTTCCATGCTTATTAGTATTTTTCCCTGTAGTAGGAACATATTTCTCTAGCATAAATAAATAAATAAATAAATAAATAAATAAATAAATAAATAAATAAATAAAACAAAACTTCAATGAGAAGAGTTTGGCCGTATCCTCTATGTGTAAACACCTTCATTCCCCAGGCTCAGCGTGCTCCTTTTAGGCCTCACTTTGCAAAGCTGAACTCAGAGTCTCATAAATTTTATTACTTTGAAAATATTTTTTTTCTCTTAAGAAGTAAAAGAAAAATTTCTGTTTGATAGGAATATATTATTTATTTATTAAAATTTTAGATTAGCACACAAAATAATAGGTTTAATTTTGGCGGTCCACACATGTGTGACTTTCTGCTCTGTTCTCTGTTGCTCTCGTCCCCCATTGCTCTCCTTGTGTCCCCTGCCTGTTCCTGGCTGGTTCCCCACTGCCCTCACATAGTCTCTTCCCCTTCTTTTTTCTCATCACTTGGATTCCATTATCCTTTCTTTTTCCCCCTCCCTTGTGACAGTTATCTTAACAGAATCATTTCCTACTATTTGAATCTGAACCTTTGTAACTTCATAGTTGGAATTTTTTAGTGTCATGTTTCTCAGACAGGTAGGAGGCAGATAAGATTATCTCTCTCAGGCAGGGAGCCTCTGGGGCAGAGTCTGAAGTCTGAAATGACTCTTTCATGCCTGGCATTTTTCTTTTCTTCTTCCTTTCCATTCCTTTCTTTCTTTCTTTCTTTCTTCCTTTCTTTCTTCCTTTCCTTCTTTCCTTCTTTCTTTCTTTCTTTCTTTCTTTCTTTCTTTCTTTCTTTCTTTCTTTCTTTTTTTCTTTCTTCCTTCCTTCCTTTCCTTCTTTCTGTCATTTCTTTCAGGACAGGGTTTCTCTGGGTAGCCTTGGGGCTTTCCTAAAGCTCATTATGTGACCAGGCTGGCCTCCAACTCTGCTTCTACCTCCCAAGTACTGGGATTAAAGTTTAACAGTGGGTTCCACCACCACTGCCTGGTTTGTGCTTGGTCCTTCTAACTGAGGCCTTTCGAGTTCATACTTAATGAGGTAGGGAAAATAGGTAGGCTAGTTTTTTTTTTTTTCTTTCTCATGTTAATAATACCTTTTCTTTCAACGAGGCTGTTCGTTCTTCATGTAGTCATGTTTAGTATAAGAGTGGTTAGGTTGAGCAGTGTTTTGCAGAGCTTCAGAGAGAGTAAGCATTTGCTGGGTGTGGTGGCTGCTGCTTGTAGTCATAACACTTTCAGGCCCATCTAGGAGAAGCACAGGACCTGGGTTAGCCTGGGCTTCATAGCGACACCTGAAAAGCAAAAAGCAAATGAAATAAAAAGCGAGATAAAAAGCGTTGCTCCGATATAATAGGCTTTTGAAGAAGGAATATGAAATAATTCATAACTAGATTTTATGTTCTTCTTGATAAATTTAACCGTGGCATGTAAGTTGATATTTTGGGAATTATAATGATCTGTGTAGTAAATCACAACAATGTATAACAAACTAAACCTGCCTTTCCCAGCCTGAGCTACACTTGTTTTGTTAGTAGGAACCTAAGTACAGCTTGTCTGGGCACCTGTAACTGTGGGTCTTTTAATCAAGCCATCACCTCAGGCCTGGCTGGGGCTGACAACAGCTTACCATGGCTGTTGAAAAGCTTCGGATCTACTTACTCCTCAGGTATCTCGTGCAAGCCGCCCATGGTGCTGCAGCTGGCTTCCCTTTTGGCCAAGAGAGAACATGGAAAAGGGCCCAAAACAGAAGAGCCAGTCTTCTATAATCTAATTTTGGAAATGACATCACCTCTGCTATATTCTATTGATAGGAAGTGGTTCTCTCTATCTATCGGATGAGCAAGGGAGGTGAACACAGGGACACCACATAGGGACACACGCACACGTAACCAGGCATGCACACCCAACACACAAACACAGTTAGTTAGGGGAATTGTGTTCTCCAAACTCACAAGTTGAAGTTGTAACATACCCTCTACTCAAGTGTCTCAGAAAGTAACTATGTGGTGATTAAGTTAACGGGGTGGTGGGTGGTTCGGGTAAGGCAATTTGCACATCAGTAGGGGGTCAGGGAGGGGCGGGGGAGAGGGAAGCACAGGAATGGTGGTGCACAAGAAAAGACAAATGAGGAAGGTAGCCATCTGCAAACACTTTTCAGTTGGTGAAGCCTGCCCCCTCCAGTTCCTGTGTTTTGCTATGGCAGCGTTAGTAAACCAGTATGCACACGTGTATATAAGATTTTAAAGACAGCATGTTTCCTTTTTTCCTTTTTTATTTAGCATGTGTCATGGCGTTTTCGCATATGTGTATCTTATCCTTTGCTCTTATATGTGTATCTTGTCCTTTGTTCATAATGTTTGATTTCTTAAGTAACCAGAACGTGTTATAATAATGGTCAGGCTGCCACACAACATACCTGGTATAAAGAAGTTTATTTGGGAGGGGGGGAGGAGAAGGGGAGAGGAGTTAGGAGTTGGATGATTGCACATATAGACAGGCAGGCGACAGACAGACGGGGACAGAGCCATGAGGGCCGAGAAGGACAGAGAGAGAAAATGTGGGGATAGAGGGAGAACAGACCAACAGAGAGAAAGAGAGAGACTGAGGTAAAAACCGAGAAAGAGCCTGAGAGAGAAAGAGGGGAGGCAGGTGAGGTCCTTTCCTCAGCCGCAGGCTGGTTGCTAGGACCCTAGAGGCAGCCTAGTGGGATTTCCTGCTCACTAACAGACCTCTCTTTTTCTTCCCTTGAAATTACAGTCACAGTGCTCCTTCAGTTGGGACTGGGCGCCTGCCTTTCCCTCTCAAGGAATCTGGAAAGATGTAAGAATTGAAGCCTATAACATCAGTCATCTGAATTACCTCACCTTTTTGCCGTTCTATGGTAAGTCAGGAATTGTGATTTCTTGAAATTGGACTCGCTTTTTGTAGACTAGGCTGGCCTTGAACCCACAGTGATCCACTTGTTTTTGCCTCCCTGAGTGTTGGGATCACAAGTGTTATTTTTTTTCCCCTAATGTTGTCTTTATGACGTGGTTTATTTGTTTCTAAATGTATTTTATGTGATTATGTGGTGTATGATATGTGTGAGCAGCAGAGGCCAGAGGAGACCTCTGAGGCTCCTGCTCTATCACTCTCCACCCTATTTCCCTGAGATACGGTCTCTCAGTAAAGCTTGAACCCAGCCCCTCAGCACTGGAGTTACAGGTGTGTTCGTGGGCACACCCAGACTCTTCCGTAGGTGCTAGGACCTAAATTAGGTCCCTGCGTTTACACAGCAAGTGCTCTGGCCCACTGAAACATCTCTCCAGCTTGCTTTTGGACCGTCTGAGCTGAGCTGGGCTGTTGGTGGTTAAGAGGCACGCCCACCGACTCAGGCGCTCTGTCCTTGCTGCTCTTGCCCTGTAGGTGCTTGCCTCAGCCTCTGTGGCCTGCGCATGAACAGAGGAACAGGCTTGCCCCTCAGCTAGATCTTGCCTGCCCCGTGCGCAGCTGCTCTTTCTGGGAAATATAAGGTGAAAACAAAAGCAAAACTTTGTCAGTCCTGCTGACTGTCTTATCGGCAGGCGGTCATTGATGTTATCTGTCTCTTCCTTTGGCTCCTCCTTTTTCTTCATTTTTGAATTGCCTTTTTCTTAAAATGCCAGTGACCTCCCTTAAAATGGTTTAGTTGACATTAGGCTTCGTGTCTAAGTCCCCCTTCTCGCTCTCTGGCTGCTCACTCAGGGACGGCACGTTCTCACAGGCATGTCCTGATTTTCAGCGGATTCTGCCCTTGCTGTTTTCCTTTCAGTTCGGTTTTGAGGATTTTTAAAAAATAAATAGGTGAGGAGCTCCGCAGGGCGGTAGAGCAGGGTGCAGGGCTCTGTCAGTCAGCCACGAGCCTGCCTGTCCGGCCAGTGTAGCCGGCAGCTTCCTGAAAAAGAGCTGCTTGCTTGAATCTGTCCCGTCATTCTACTGTGAGTCTGGGAAAACGCATCGTGTCTGAGTTTGCGCATCCCTCCACGGGAGCACTGCTGGAATTTGCGCATTCCGTGATTCAGGGACTGAAGAGCAGTATCATCGCGCCTTCTTTAAAGGTCAGGACCGCTTTCCCCTCCAGACTCTCATTTTCTGAAAATGGTTCAGGAGGGCAGAGCCCAGGAGGGTGCCAGGGAGGAACGCAACAGAAGCAAGAATCAGACAAGGCCGCTGCCTGTGAGCAGCCTTTGCACAAGCAGTGATCCCTGCTTGCAGAGCGACCCGTGCCTACCTCAATGACTAGCCTCCGTGCCAGTCCTTACGCTCTGAGTGCTGTCTGTCCTCGTCTCTCCCCCACGGGGGTACAGTCACGGAGGTCAGAAGACAGCCTTGGGTGTCTGGCCTAGCTTTCCATTCTGTCTCAGACAGTCTCTTGTTAGTTGTTCATGTCTGGCAGGGTATCTAGCCATGAGCTGCTGAGGATTTTTCTCACCTCCACCCCCAGTCTCCAGGCAGGTTACAGACCCGTGCTATAGGCGCCCATCCGGCTTTCCAAGAATTCAGGGAACTCCAGCTCAGGTCGTCACGCTTGGGTGGGAAGTGCTTCGCCGCTAAGTCATCACGACAGCCCCATCTGACACCCGCTCACCACGTGCACCCGTTTGCCATTGAACTCACAGGGATCTGCCTGCCGCTGCCTCTCGAGTGCTGGGATTAAAGCCCTGTACCACCAAGCTTCTCTATCGCTCTTTAAGATTGAGAAAAAGATGTGTCTTTGTGTGAGTCTCCATGTACATCATGTATGTGCAAGTAGGCATCTGGAAAGCCAGTTTCCTCGAACCGGAATTGTAGGAATCATGGGAACTTTGAGCCAACCTGATGTGAGTGCTGGGACCGAAGCCCGGTCCTTTAGGACAGCAGTCAGTATTCTAACCACGACGCCCATCTGGCATCCTTCACCGTGACTCCTGTGTTTAGTTTTTCCAGGACGGAGTTACTGACAGAGTTTGCTGTCGGTGTTAGAGAAGAACTTTGGCTGTAGCGCAGAGACCTGTGCGGAGGTTCGGGCAGTAGTTTTTCAGGAAGAGTCTTCCGCTTGTTTTTCCACGGTGCTTGCCTGACTGTTACCTTTCCCTCCTCAGGTAGCTTGTGTACAAAGATGGTGTTTGAGGAGTGGAGGGGCTAAGCATAGCACCATGTCACCACAGGGGAGGGTCGAACACATTTTCCACGGAGTTCAGGGTTCCTCCTTCCAAGACACTTTTATTTTCAGGCTAGCACTTTCAAAAATAACTTATGTTTTATTTTTCATGCCTGAATCTTTAGCCTGCATATATGTATATGGACCGCATGTGTTCCTGGTGCCTGAGGAGTTCAGAATCGGCTGCTGGGTGCCCTGGAACTGGAGATCACCAAGTTCCTTCTGCCTCTAACATCCCCTGGGTCTTTCCTTTCGTTTGCAAATCAGACATCTCTTTCCCAACCTGTGCGAGTTGTGGAAGAACTAACTCAGTTTCTCCCGAGGCCTCACACAATATGGCGGATGGAGACACTGATTGCTGAGACTTTATTATAGCAGGCACAAGCTAAAGCAAGGCTTAGGATGCTTCTTTAAGCATTTGTTTTACGTTAGGAGCCTGTGTGCAGGTAAAGTGTATATGAACGCAGGTGCCTTCCCCAAGGGGCCAGGGGAAGGCATAAAATCCCCTGGAGCTACTTGTGAACTGCCCACCATGGGTGTTGGGAGTATAATTCTAGTCTCCTGGAAGAGCAGCAGACACGCTTAAGCACTGAGCCGTCTCATCAACCCTGCAGGATGTGGTTTGGAAACACATCCTCCAGGAACGATTTACCAGACTCAACAAGCTCAGCCAACTCTGTCTCTTCCCTTCCTCCCGCCTCCTTTTTCGTTGGGTTTTATACGTTTTTTTTTTGAGACAGGGCATCACGTAGCTCATACCGCCCTTTTACTTCCTTTATAGCAGAAGAGGGCCGTGAACTCCAGGAATTCCTGCCCCTACGCCCCAAGCGCCGAGATTGCAGGGGCGCACCACCACACGTAGTCCTTCGTGTCTTTTTTTATACTGCTTACTACCAGTCAGCGGAGTAAACCTTTTTCTTTCTTAAAAAAAAAAAAAAGAAAAATTGGGCTGGAGAGATGGCTCAGCGGTTAAGAGCACTGTCTGCTCTTCCAGAAGTCATGAGTTCAACTCCTGGAAACCACATGGTGGCTCACAACCATCTATAGTGAAATCTGGTGCCCTCTTCTGGCGTGCAGGCATACATGCAGGCAGAACACTGTATACGCAATAAACAAGTAAATCTTTTAAAATTACATTTTATTTATTCTTTTAAATGCCTGTGTGCACATGCGTGTGCTTGCATACATGTGGGGGTCATAGGAACCGGTTGTGGGAATTCTGTCCTTCTACCATGTGGGGCCTGGGGTCAGACCTCAGATCACCAGGCTGAGTGGCAGTTGCCTTTACCTGCTGAGCCAACCCTCTTATCCCTCTTTTCTTTTTTTGACAGCCACTTCCTGATAAAGAAGTGGACTTTATTATAATATAAAAACTGGAATTCTTTGGAGAACTTCTTTTTTTTTTTTTTTCGAGGCACGGTTTTTCTGTGTAGCCTTGGCTGTCCTGGAGCTTGCTCTGTAGACCAGACTGGCTTCAAACTCACAGAGATCTGCTTCTGCCTCCCGAGTGCTGGGATTAACATGCACCACTATCCCTGGCCAATGGAGAATTTCTTTTCCTTCTGTGCTGGAGAAACTCAGGACTTCACACAAGGACTCCCCGCCTTAGTCACATCTCAGCTGTTCTTTGGAGGATTTTTTTTTTTTCAGTCAAGTGTGTTGCACATGTACTAGAAAAGCCTTACTGACTCTTTGACCCTTAGAATGGATTCCCATCCAGGTCAGACACATGGTCCTTCTTTGTGCCCTTTCCCTTCTTTCCTTCTCTCCTCCCTTTCGCAGAACTGGCACGAGTGCCTGAGCCCCGGGAAAAACCCTGAAATGAGTCATTGTTTAGAACCATAATCTTTGCCCTCCTCTGGATCAGCTTCCTGGCTAAGGTGAGGTCATATGACCAAAAGAAACTGCAATCCCTTCCGTATGGGCACAGGACATCAGTGAGGAGAGAGGCATCAGGCCAAGGAGTGACGCAAGGAGAGGCTAAGCCAGGCTTTCCTGTCCACCTGTTCCTTCAAGCGTTAATTTCTCATCTGGGCCTAGCGTGCCAGAATGAAGAGAGAACACCAGGCTTAGCTGGGTTGGGAGGAAGTGCTATATAGGATTCTGGGGTACCCGCTGCCCTTTTCTTCTGTTCTTGCCTCTTAATATTTTAATATTACTCCCCCCTCGCCTTTTTTTGTTATTTGTTTTTTGAAATAGGGTTTCTCTGTGTAACCGTGGCTGTCCTGGAGCTCACTCTGCAGACCAGGCTGGTCCCGAACTCATTCAGGGGTTTGCCTGCCTCTGCCTCCGAAGTGCTGAAATTACTGGCGGGCGCCACCAGTCATAGGCTCCAAGCACTACTTTCAGAAGTATCTTGCATATGAGAGAGAGAGAGCTGAGGATTGCAGGTTTATGATGTAGCTGGAGACTCGTAGATTTCCCAAAGAGGTGTCCTAGGAAGCACAAAGAGGGAGGACAGCGTTATACAGCGTTCTAATAATATCATACACTGGTTATTTAAAATTTTGTGAACTCCAGTTGCTTAATTTTCCTTGTGCTGCCACGAGTCTGTACAAAACACGCCATTCTGTTTATTTAGAACAAAAGATTTAACTCTGCAAAATAAAAAGAACATATCCCCCCACCCCCACCCCCGCGCTTCCCTCCGTAGCAGGGGCAGCGGCAGCGATGTTGAGCGCTCACTGCTCAGCCCCTGCCCGCAGCTTACTTTCAGCAGCTCCCGGCGCAGGGATGATGATGTTGTTTTCTTCTCCCGCTGCAGATAACACTTCTGGGGTGTGGAATATTGAAATTGAGGCTTCTTTTGACTTCGTCAGCTCAAAGCCGGTTGGTGGTCAGGTGACCGTAGCCATCCCTACACTGAAAACACAGCAGACTTTCAAGATTGAACTCCATCCTGGGCAAATGCCTTTTAAACTCCTTGTAAAAATTAGCAAGGTGGGTGATGTCGCTTCCCTGGAAGTGTTGGATGAATGGGCTTGCTGTTCAAGGGGAGAAATGGCTGAGTGGGGAGTGGCTGTCTACTTTCTCCTTATATACTCTTTTCCTTCCTTCCTTCCTTCCTTCCTTCCTTCCTTCCTTCCTTCCTTCCTTCCTTCCTTCCTTCCTTTTATTTATTTATTTTTTTCTTTTGGTTCTTTTGAGACAGGGTTTCTCAATATAATAGTCCTGGCTGTTCTGGACTCACCTGTATCACCACACATGACACTTTTGTTTTTAACTTCTCATATATTTTGTGTATTAAATAATGGATGATTTTATCACAGGTAAGATTAACATAATGGAAAACATGTGAGTCATTTGCCAATTTTTCTTCTAAGAAGTTAGTTATATTTTTATAACTTTTTTTTTCTGTGTCACCTACATTTCAGGTTTCGATGTGGGTCTTTTCATTTGCTGTGAATATTGGTATTTCTTCCTTCTGTAAAACTCTAAACCTGGGCTCAAGGTTTTCTCACAGTTGGATGGGATAGGTTTTAGCTTTCATTGTTTCTATTAATCTGGTTGGTGATTGCGAACTGAAGAAGACAGAGAAAAGTAACAGCAACTTGGAAGAAAGCAAGACTCCACAAGAGGTGAAGTCCTGGGCTTAGAAGAAGAGTCAATGTGCAAGTCTGATTCCGGGAATTGAGACTATAGAATAAGCACAGTGTGGAGAGAGAGAGCAGTGAACCGCTGCCTTTACATACCATAGAGCTCTGTTATGGTGATCTGTGTTGATTTTTTAAACAAATATTCTCAGTGGAGGGGCTGGGAACAGAGCTCAGTCAGCAGTCATGCTTTTCCTAGTATGCATGAAGTCCTGAGTTCAAGCCTCAGCACCACATAAATTGTAACCCTACATTCTGGAGGTGGGGGCAGGAAGATCAGAAACTCATGGTCATCTTCTGCCACATATAGAGTTTGAAACCAACCTGAGCTACAGGAGACTCTGTAAACAAAGATAAGCAAAGAATAAGTACATAAAAATTTAAAGCAGTGATCCTGTGCCTAGGCTTTCGGATAGTGTAGGCATGGCGGTTTGTGCTACTTCGGGACACAGTTTGTACGTCGCTACTGAGAAATTCATATAGCGCTCTGGGGTGTACTGTTCTCTAAAACTATGTCGCATTACTTAGAATGACTTATTTCTTAAAAGGAGGTTGCTGTGGAGACCTGGTGGCCTCATGGACACGGAAACCAGACTGGGTACAATATGACAATTCTCTTTGTGCTGGACGGAGGCTTAAATATTGAAAAATCAGCCAAGGTAAGTAAATAAACTATTTTGTGAAAAGGAGGCTATTCCTTGATAAAATAGCCACACTGAGATTTGAAAGAAAAGAAGAAAGTATCAAAATTTACAATTATGCCACCCAGAGTGATAGCATTCAAAGTTTCTAGGTGTGTCGCTGTGGGTTTATGCTTTTAAATGGATCAGACTCCTGTTATGGCCATAGCCTCCTGTGTTTCACAGTGTTTCCTTTTTTTCTCTTTCTTAGTGCTGGGGTGTGAGCCAGAGACTTAGACCACACCTCTCTCTTTACACTACAGCCTCATCCTTCTCCTGTGTGCTCTTACATTATATCTAAGTAACATATATGCACAATTTTAAATCTGTTGGGAGGTTCATATGATCAGAAGGAACCCTGACCAACCCTTTTTCATCTAACTTCTAACGTATAGAGCAACGGCAACAATAATCATTTCTACTTCTTTAGCCATTTGTCTTCATTTTCCAAATTTGCATGCTCCCACCGATGCTTTCAAACTTTCCCCTCCTGGCCACTTTGGGATCTAGCACTTAGAAATGCAAAGAATTCCACTTTCTTACCTATTAGCCATATGGGTTAACTCAAGCACCATTTCCTTATGTTAAGATGGGGCACTCGGAACGACGTAGCTTGGGTCTAGCCTATCCCAGCCACGGTGATAATAGTCCTTTCCTAGAGTTTTCCTTCCCCTGACATGGACCTTTGTTGTCTTCGGTTGATGGAGTCACCCTGCGGTGCCAGCCCTCACAATAGGCATTGCCTCTCCTTTGGCCCAGATGGCATCCTAAGTGTAGTTCATTTGCACTTTTCTTCTGTTTAATTGTACTCCGTATTTCTGAGAGAGTATGAATGTATGTCTGTGCACACATGCATAACATGTTTGAGGACAAGGGATGTGTGTTCTCCCACGTACTGGTTTATTGTGTGTTGTCTTCATAAAAATATAAAAAATAATGAGCCATTCAAGCTTACCACAGAGGGGAAAAAAGAACCTCTATTTGTGGTACAGCATTTCTTTTCATTTAGACTGGTATTAGTTGTACCATTGTTCATCTGCATGAAGATGCCAACCTCTGAGCATTGAAGGGAGTAGTGATGCATTGTCCTTCTGCGTGGGTGTGGTGTGTGCTCTCTCTGCGTGGCCTCTGTGGAGTTCATGATTGTCAATGCTTATTCATTCAGCTACCTCTGGGGTCCTGTTGTGTTCTGGCTCCTATGCTCATGATAAAGCCATGATAATGCATTGTATCAGTTTCTTTCTGAGACCTTAATAAGGCTAATCACTTGGTTGGGAGGTGACTTTATTAAACAAGCACTTGTGATAACGGTTGATGAGCACGCTAGAGAAACGGTGTGGAGGCAAGCCAGGCATGGTAGCATGCGACTGTAACCCTAGCCCTTGGGAGGCTGAGGCAAAGGGGTCACAGTTTGAGGCCATCTAATAACACTCCCATCTCTGAAAACAAAACAAAACATGAAACCAAAACAAATAAGGATTTGAACTGGATTAGTAATAGGGATGTATAAATCAGCAGAATATAGATAGTTGTAGCTGTGGCACGAGATGACATAAAGAGGACATATCCCTGAAGAACTAGAATAAATGAGGATGTGGCAAGAGAAAAGTCTAGAGAGGAATCTACGAAGGAATGGCCGGACATGAGAGTCACCCGGTTTGGGTAGAGGAGTGGGGAGCCAGAGGGAGAGTGTTCAAGGCACAGACAGCACCCACAAGCATCAGCCGATCAAAGGTGCTCACGAAAGACAGTCACTGAGAAGGGTCTCAGGGGGTTGGCAGTGAGGAGGCCACTGGTTGCCTTGACCAGAATGGAAACCAAACTGCAGTCCAGATAGTAGCTGTAGCAGCTACTGACACTACCGTGTCAGACTTGGCCATGGTGTAATGAATGGTGCCCAGCTGTGGGTCAGGAGTTTGTCCACACATAGGCATCTGAGCAAATGGACGTTCTGATGTACTAGGAACCAGTTTGCAAGATGGTTGGTGAATATAGCGTGCTAGTTACTTCCGCATCTCTGTGAGATGGAAAGGTTTTCTTTAGCTTGTATGTGGTGGTCAGAGGTCAGTGTTGTGGAGCTGGTTCTTTTCTTCTGCCATGGGGGTCCTGGGAAGCCGTATTTGGTCAGCAGATGTGTGCAGTAGATGCCTTGATCTGCTAAGCTGGCTTACTGACCCAATGAGTAGTTTTGAATGCTAACCATAGTTTGCTTTTTGGGGCTAGAAAGTCACCTCGTTGCCACTTCCCTTCAGCATACCTTACTTCACAGCACTCTCTGTGGAAGGTAACTAATTTTGCTGAAGGTTATTTATATTGTCCCTGGTGTCAAGATTATTCAGTTAAATTATTTTCGGAAGGTGATAAGACAATGTAAGCAATTAGAACTTGTTTCTCATATTCCCAAGCTGGATGCAAAAGATTGCCAATAGCTGTTCTAATTAGAAAAGCAATCAGGACTTCTTCAGTTTTATAATTTAAAATACAATTCACTCCTTTCTTTGATTTTAAAATCCCCCCTTTTCATCTTTGCAGTTTCCTAGGGCAGAAAGAAAACATGAGACCCATCGAATTCTTGCTTTTTCTTTTTAAGTGTTACTCAGAGCTCTCTGAAGACCTCACTAGCTCCCAGGCAGTGTGAAATTCAGGATAATCAAGGTGTGTTTCCAGACAGAGTTCCCCGAGGCTGCGCAGCATCTCTTTTTATGTGTTAACTTCCCCAGTGTTGTCAGAGCACATTCTGACAAACTTGGGTATTCTCTCACAGCTGCAGACGCTGCCCTCCCAGACCAAGGTGCATCTAGAGCCAAGTTTCTTTCCCTACAGACTTGTGGAAACCACTCCTTGCCTCTTCCCTGTCACTGCCAGAAATGCTCCCTTTCCTTGCTTTGTAGATGGCCAGACTCTAGTTTCTGTCTCCTTCACCGTCTCCCTTCCCCAACTCTCTCTCTTTCTTTCTAACTTTGTGTGTTTTTGAGACAGAGCCTCACTATATGTCCCAGGCTAGTCAGAAACTTGCATCATTTCTCCCGCTCTCTGCCTCCCAAATGCTGGGGTCACAGGCCCGAGTCACCACACCTACCTTCTTATCCACTGGGTTAGGGCTTGGTGTGACCTCATTTAAGCTCTATTTTCAAATAAGGTCACATTTTGTGGTTTGGCAGTAGACCTGAATATTGGGGACACAATGTTTAAGCCAGTTCACTTTCCTTCATCTTCTTTGTTGAAAAACTAGTTAAAATTTTACTAAATGGCTACTGTCAGTGGCTTCCTCAGGGAGCCATGAGAACAGTTCGCCCAAGCGCATGGAGTAAGTGGGTGTCGCTTGCACTGCTTTGCTTTGTTGTCAATTTTTCGTTATTATTATGTTTTGGGAGTTCTAGAAAATGCCTGTGATAGAATACTGTTTCTCTCACATCTGTTGTTGGGCTCAGTTTTTCTTGAATTCTGATAATATGTGTGGAGAATTAGATCTGGCACATTCTTATTATTGATCCTTTAATAAATATTACATTATACATGCATATGACCCTCAACCATAAAATTATTGTCATTGCTACCTTATAACTGATTACACCTATATATTGCTACTGCTATGAATTGTAATATCAACATCTGTGTTTTCTGGTAGTCTTAGGTGATCCCTACAAAAGGGTCATTCAACCTACCAAAAGGTCATAACCCACAGGTTGAGAAACTCTTCCATAGAGGCCCTTGGGTGTGTTGAGACTTCCTTTCACTCTTACTGGAGGGTTGTGCTGCAGGATTTGGGGGATGGGAAGAGACACTTTTTAACAGGAAAAACACTGAAAGGTATTGTGGTTTATAGTTAATACTATTTGTAACATTAATAGATAGTAAAAAATAAATAATTCCTTTGCCCTTCCTTAGTGATCTTACATTTATTTTTGACACATAACTACTCTATACTTTCAAAAAATATATATGAATATAGTTTTTAAAAACTTTTTAAAAACTAGATTTATTACTTTATTTGTGAGTGTTTGGACTGCATTTATGTATGTGCTGGAGAGGGTCAGAAGACATCGTATCCCCTGGTCCTGGAGTATGGATGGTTGTGAGCCACCATGTGGGTGCTAGGAATCAAACCTGGGCCCTCTAGAAGAGCGAGGAGTGCTCTTAGCCACTGAGCCACCTCTCCAGCCCCACATAGCCCTTCTTAAAGGAGTTAAGATGAGTTTGCTTTGAATTCAACTTGTGTCTCCAGTTGCTGCATTCTCATCATATTCTTGTACTGACTGTCGTCAGGGATAAAGAAGGGACCGGGGAGATGGCGCAGGAGGTAAAGCGCTTGCCAGGCAGGCATGGAAACCTGACTCTGGTCACAAGCACCAACATGGGACGCATGTGCAGTGACGCACGCTTGTAACCCCGATGACGGAGAGACTGAGACAAGATGTCTTCCAGCAACTGCATCCACGGTTCTTAACCCTCTGCCATTGTCCAAGATGAAAATGCTAGGGTGGCTGACAATCACTGTGGAGATCATGCAGAAGTCAAAGACATCAACCCTCAACTGACCTCTGCCATGTTGACATGGAAGCACCCTGTGATTAAAAAAAGAAAGAAAAAGGAAAAGTAGACATGGCAATTCAGACCAGATTTTGCACTGGTTTGCTTAAATTATTCTCTTTGGAAACATCGTTTTCTTGGGTGGTTTCAGGGGAGGGCCGCCCGATACGGTATATTTGGTAATAGGTGCTGTCTTGAACAATATACAGTGAAACATCAAGGCTTAAGCTGCTTCTTTGAAAATAAGTGCACAGGAAATTTGGTGAAGACAACTTCCTCTGTAACAACATGAAGGAAGGAAATAGATGTTCATAAGAGAAGAGTCGGTGTTGGGAAGAGTGTGCTCAAAGATAACGAGCGATGCAGCCTTGTACTGTGAGGTCCAGATAGGATTATCAATGCCCTGGTCGTTTCACCAGAAACTAGACATCTGTTCTGAATCAGTGGAC